GCAGGAGAACATCACATCACAGCAGCTCTCCAGTGAGCAGGAGAGCATCACATCACAGCAGCTCTCCAGTGAGCAGGAGAGCATCACATCACAGCACAGCTCTCCAGTGAGCAGGAGAACATCACAGCAGCTCTCCAGGTCTGTGGAACACTTTCTGTTCCCAGGGCTCCTAACTATCCACACACCATCTCATTTCAATCTCTGACAGGTGGCAGCAGACAGAGGGAAGCACCAGCACAAGAGGATAGCACTACACCTCAACTCACAAAGACCATTAGTCCTGTGCTCCAGGCAGCCTCCAACACAGCCCCCACATCCAGAGCAGCTGGCTCATAACTTCTCTCTGTGCACAAAGGCCAGAGAGACTTGGAAACTGACAGAGGAAGCAGTCCTCTAGAGACAGAGCAATCTTGATTCCTATGCCCTGTCCCAGGGGACCTCCTCTCATAACAAACTGCTCTCACACTCTTGGGCATCTGCCAGCACCCCATGTCCCCCAAGACAAACAGCTGAATGCAGGTGGTCTGGTTAAGAGTTCACTCTAAGGCACCAAGAGACAGCTCAGCAGTAGGAGCACTGGCTGCTCTTCCAGAGGACCCAAGCTCGGCTCCTGGTACCCACAGGGTGGCTCACAACCATCTGGAACTCGAGTTCCAGGAGACTCTGACACTTTCTGACCTCCCTGGGCACCAGACATGTACATGGTGCACATACATACATACATACATACAAGCAAAATACTCCTATACATACACATGAATAAATCTAAAATAAAAAATGTAAAGACTCTAAGAACAACCAACCTCTAGCCCACCCACCAGCTACGTAGCAGTCAAAACCACCTCCAGCCTGTCACTCTTCCTGGAACTGAAGATGTAAAGGGAACACAGACCCAGCCCTAAGCTTCCTCAACTACCCAAGAAACAGTGGGGTTACTCTGTTCCACTTGCACATGCTGGTTATCAAGAATGGATTGTTAAGACCTGCTGGGGGCAAGAACAGGGAGGATGAGTGGACACCTGAAGACGGCTTTCACACCCCAAGACGATAACAGTCCATTCACTCAGTGAACAGGAGGCAGGTTTACAGAGCACAGACATGAAGCTCGTGGGAAGGCTCAGTATACCATACAGTCAGAGTGCACATACCATACAGTCAGAGTGCACATACCATCACAGCTGTAGTACATGAACAGTAATAAAGGGAACAATACAAATATTTAGTCAACATGCTAGAATGGGGTGGTTTGCATTGTTTTCTTCTTTTCTGTTTTTCCAAAACACCCCCCACACATTTATTTCAAAAAGATTAAAATACAGCATAACGTGCAAAATCGACATGCACAGGAAAAGAGCCACAGGGCATGCACCAAAATAAAAACACAGGTTGTGTTCAGGTGGTGATTGAATTTCTTCTTCGTCGTCTTTTTTTGTTTGTTTGTTTCCTTTTTTGGGGGGGAGGCATGGTTTCACTCTGTAACCCTAGCTGACCTGGAACTCTGTAGACTGGCCTCAAACTCAATGAAATCTACCTACCTATGCTGGGATTAATGGCATGTGCCACCAGGTCCCAGTGTTTTGTTTGTTTATATTCTAAAGACTCGTTTTGGATGTCACTGTTGCATTGTGAAGTTTAAAAACAACAGCAATAGGGCTGGAGAGATGGCTCAGAGGTTAAGAGCACTGACTGTTCTTCCAGAGGTCCTGAGTTCAATTCCCAGCAACCACATGGTGGCTCACAACCATCTGTAATGAGATCTGGCGCCCTCTTCTGTGTTCGTAATCAATCAATCAATCAATCAATCAATCAATCAAAAACAACAGCAATAAAAAACCAAAACAACAGCCAGGCAGCAGTGGCGCACGCCTTTAATCCCAGCACTCAGGAGGCAGAGGCAGGCGGATCTCTGTGAGTTCGAGGCCAGCTTGGTCTACAGAGTGAGATCCAGGACAGGCTCCAAAGCTACACAGAGAAACCCTGTCTCGAAAAACAAATAAACAAAAAAAAACCAAAAAACAAAAACCCAAAAACAAAACCACTCCAAACCTGCCAGCATTAACCACTTCCTTAATGACTAAGCTGTGGTCTCATTTTTATAGGCCTTTCAGTTCAGTGTCTCCAGCTACTGGATCAGTGTGGATTTTCCACACCTGCCGTAGTGAGGGGAGACAAAGTAGGTAAACGAACCGATATGGCTCCGGAAGTGGTATGACGTGACTGAGACAGGGTCCAGCCTTGTCTCAGGAGGCTGCTGTTGGGCTCAAGTCACAGAGAGGCAGGGCTGGGGAAAGCCCAGAGCTGTGCACGTGAGACGGTGGTTCCCACCGGGGCTACAGACCCGAAGGAATGTCTGAGGACGATGGTGTCTCAGTCCAGTCTCTGGAAGGCTCATCTGGTGTTCTCGGGTAGAGCTGACTTTGTGTACCCTAAAATCTCCCAGATGATTCTTAGAGGACCCAAAGGTCCCCAGGGGGTGCTGTCTTCAGAGCCTGTAGCTCCCAGTCTGGGACAGTCTTAGGAGACTGCAGCCACGGTGGTAAACAGTGGTTAGCCACGACTAGTGGGAGTATTAGCCAGAACTAACTTCCGGGCAATCTGCAACCTGTGCCAGAATTCTGTACAGACGTTGGCCCTAGTGGGCGCTCCTAAGAAACAATCACAATTGTGAGCCAAGGAAGAGCTAAGCTGGTCACTGAAAACAGTGAAAAGGTACGTCTAAACGGGGAACTAGGGAATGGTCCAAGCGTGGTGCGTGAGATCAACTGAGGGATGACGTCATCATTAACGAGGACATCGTGTGAGACGGACATGTCCGTAGTACGCTGTGGCGTGGGAAGGGTAAAGGTGGTACTGCCTCGCATGCACACTGACGCACGGGGAGGGGCCGAGCGCAGTCCCGAGAGGACAGGTCAGGTGGCTCAAAACAAGGGCTTCACCTCCCATTTTGAGCTCTGGAATCCAATTCCGACCCTGCTGCTAACATGAGCTGGCTGACAGTGGCTGACAGACCCTGCTCTCCTCCCCACAAAACAAGATCAACCACTCTGCCCCTGGCATTCCAAGGATTTAGTATGGCAGATGTTTACTAACACAGCTAAGCATTATTAGCAGCATTTTAAAACTCCACTAGGCAAGGTTCCTCCTCCACAGCAGCAAATGAACAATGCTGAGGAAGCCCTGAGAACCTGGTTTCTGAACACCTGGAGCCTTTGTCTGTGTGGAGGGGGAGGGGAGGCTTGCTGGTTTGCCCCGGGAAAGCTACGGTAATGCCCCCAGCCCTCTGCAGCTAAAGGTGCCCTGACTCCCATCACACTCTGCCAGCTCGAGCCAATCGGATAGTCCCCCAAGGCAAGGCAGGGGCCAGAGCCACCGGGGGAAAGAGGGGACAGAAGGGTGTCGTCTGGGGCAGACTCACCAAGGCAGGGTAGGAGGGGTAGCCTCGGCACTTGGCCCACACCAGCTCCAGGGGCTCCAGGTCTCCGCGGTCTTCAAAGGGCATCAGGAGGCTTCTGCCTGGGGGTGGGGGAGGGGAGGAGACAGAGCCCAGAGGGGACTTGGCATGATGCCCCAAAGTCTGCCTGTGGCTTCCATCTGACGGGGGCAGCCCAGGACTGGGCCAGCACCACCACGCCACCCTTCCTTTTCCTCGCCCTTTCCTTAGGAGTTCTTGACTGGGTCAGGTGTCAGCAAACTAACCCCCTAAGTGGCCAGAGTAAACGTTTCATCCTTTTAGGAGCCACGTGGTCTCTGCAGCTGTAGCAGGGAAACAGAGTCCAAACGAATGAGTATCTCTACTCACCAATAAAACTAGTGTTTCTGACACTGAAATTTGAATTTCATACAACTTTCATGTTATAAAATACCATCCTTTTCATAACTTAAGATGTAAAACCATTCTTAGCTCATGGGCCACATAAAAGCAGGCAGCTATAGTTTGCCAACCTCTGAACCTGAGTTCTGGAACTGCTTCCCTGACAAAATACAGGGCTTCCTCTCCAGGGCCTCTTAGGAGAAGGGCCAGACCCCAGCTTGCGCACCTGAGCGGGGAGCCATTCTCATGGAGGCTTCAGAGGGTAAAAGTGCCAAGAAGAACATCCCAGCAGAAGCATCTGCTCAACATCTTCCTGACCAGGCCACAGCGGGCCATCCAAGCACCTGGCTGCACCACAAACCAACAAAGCCAGCCAAGCAGGTTGGCAGGGCTTTGGTGACCCTAGGTGACCGTACACCTGGCTAAGGAAAGGGGTCAAACCTGAGAGGAGCGATGTATAATTCCTAACTAAGATAAAGAAGAAAGATGCTGTTATGACAGCAGTGAGTGAAGAACATTAACAGTGAACAGATAAAACCTAACACCGAGGAAGGCTGAGGAGAAACCAGTGCAGCCACGCACCAGAGAAACCGCAGACCAGTCCGGCCCTTTTGGAATGCAATTATGTGCGATGTGCCAGGAGCATTAAAATAAATGTATGAACCATCTGCTCCAGTAAACTTCCTCTTTGGCAATTTATTATAAGAAAGGTAACAAAAGGGGCTGGAGAGATGGCTCAGCCGTTAAAGGCTAGGCTCACAACCAAAAATATAAGAAAGGTAACAAAAGGATTTTGGGCAAAAATGTGCATTTATTATATTGTGTATGTTGAAAGCTGGAGTTAATCCAACGTCCACTAGAACACACAAGCCAATTGCAAAGCACTGGTTGTTAAGATAGATGGTTCCAGTAACTCAACAGCACAGAAAGATCATGAGCCAGCAAGGAAAAAAGTATCCGAGCAAAACCTGGTGAGTCCAGCAGTGTGCGTTTGTACCGGATCTGCACGTGTTAAAATGTGCCTAAGAGAAACGGAAGCAGCACAGGGAGGGGACAGCTGTGTTCCGATGGCGAAGCCATGCGAGTGCGAGTCTCTTTAAATATCCTTTGGCGTCGTTTCTAGTATGGGGGTTTAAAAAGTAAGGAAAAAAATGTCACCACCAGAAGCACAAAGTGTGTCAGATCCACTTCCTAGCTTCAAGCTTAGATGCACAAATTCATCTGGACACAGACCGGTCATCTGAGTGCAAACAGTCACAAAGTAACGAACTCAAAGGCATGCACCCGTCAACACACACTGGGAAAGGGGCGACACTATGGCAGAAGGGAGCGGCTGGACCAGGGGAACAGCCCTGCGTGCCAGAGGGAAACTTCAGAGACAGGCCATCCAGGGCGCATGTGACCGACAACCACGTTCAGAAGCAGGCTGCTCTGGACCCGCTCCGTCTGGGAACCACCCCCAGCCTCACCCCGTTACCCCTGCCTGGTCCTCATTTCAATTAGGCTAAACAGGCACGATCTACAGGCTAGAGGCTTGAGTGACACATGTTCTCTAGAGATCACAGCCAGGTAGCACCAACCGAAATTATAAATACAGCCTCCCTCCAACCTCACAGTTCCAAGGATGAAGCACACGTAGGCTGCTCATCGCAGCCCTGACAATGAAGACACTTTAAATGTCTGTCTTTGGAGGGCTGCAGTGAAGCCAATGGAGAGTCCTCCCATACAACGGGCCACTGGGGAGCGGAGAAAGCCAAGGGTTCCCAGGGTACACTAGGAACTACAAAGAAGGAATGGCGGGCCCTCGACACCTCTCTCCAACACACACACAGGGTTCGGCTTGGATACACGTTAAATCGCTCTGAAAACAACCACAACGAAAGCTAGAGCTGACGTTCCAGAGAGGAATGCTTGCTTCCCTAAGAGAGCCTTCTGGATTTCTGTTACCATGGGCACGTGTTAACTACTCAAATTGTGCTGGCTAGTTTGGTTTTGTTTTGAGGTTTTTGTTTTTGTTCAACTTAGACACAGGCTAGGGTCATCTGGGAAGAGGGAATCTCAACTGAGAAAATGCTTCTATTACACTGGCCCGTGGGCAAGGTTGGTGGCACATTTTCTTGATCAGAGATTGATATGGGAAGATGCAGCCCACCGTGGCTGATGCCACCCCTGGGCATGTGGTCTGGGGCTGTGTAAGAAAGTGGGCTAACAAATCTTGGAGAGCAGGCCAGTACCCGAGTTCCTCAATGGCCTCTGCTTCAGGTCTGGCCGACTGCCCTTCGGGATGGACCACAAGCTGTACGGAGACGAAAGCCTTCCTCTCAAGTTGCTTTTGGTCACGGTCATCATCACAACAATATAAACTCAAAATACAACACAAACTGAAGGTAGTTTAAAGAAAGTGCTGCTGGCCCAGGAGTGCAGGCCAGCTCTCTGGCCAGTGCCTGTGTGGGGGCCCCTCACAGACTGACAGCCGGCGTGTGGGCCCGGCAGTGCAGCAGCCTGTCCACTGCTCGCTCCTCAGAGCGTTGCCCCAGCTCTGCCTCCACAGTCCTCCTCACCTGAGCCACTGTGGTCCGAGTCTCCATTCACACCGTCCAGGAAGGGCACTCGCGACAGGGCTGGCTTCCCACGGCTGCGTTTGGGAGGCGTCAGACCGCTGCACACAGAAGAGGGTTGACGTGAGCAGTTAGTTGGAAACAAGCCCACTCCTGCTTTCCCATCTCTAAAGGCGTGGCGCTACCAAGGGAAGGTCAGTGGCTGCGTCTCCTCGACATGTGACCAGAAACCCAGTCCATCCTCGAGGAGGGACGGCCTCCCCTACACAGGGGAGCATTTCATTCAGACGGAAGGCCGTGGGGCTGGGAATGGTGGCGCACGCCTTTAATCCCAGAGGCAGAAGCAGGTGGATCTCTGTGAGTTCCAGGCCAGCCTGGTCTACACTGTGAGACCCTGTCTCAAAAACCCCAAACCGTAAGAACACCACGCAGAGAGAAGGCCGTCATCACCCAGTCTCAACTCAGCCTCTCAGGGACAGTCCGGCCACAAGGAGGCCCCCTCACCTGTCCAAATCTGCACTCTGTGTTCTACACGCTTCATCTTCAGAAACCAATTTATTTCTGAGGTCCAAAAACTCGCCTCTTTTCTAACTGTGCTATAACAGGCACCTCTTCTCTCCAGAATTAGCAGAGACATTTTTAAATTGAAAAAGAGAAAGAAACCCACTTCTCACTTCAAATGGTTTGTGTGTGAAAGTCTTTCTTGGGTAGGATTTTTTTTTCTTTTTACCAACTAAAAAGGAGAGCAATTTCTTTCTTTAAACAAGGCTACAGCAGAGAGGTGAAGTCTGGTGGGTGAGACAGGTTAGTGGGGTTGAGTCCCCAGGCCCACATGGTGGAAGGGCACCCAGCAACCTCTACAGCTGTCCTTTGACCTCTACAGACATAGCAGCACACGTAAACACACACAGAAAGGCAATGAAATACTTTCGGGGTTCCTTTCGTCTGTTTGGTTTTCGAGACCGGGTCTCTCTGTGTAGCTTTGGTGCCTGGCCTGGAACTCATTCTGTAGACTGGGCTGGCCTTGAACTCAGAGATCCACCTGCCTCTGCCTCCCCAGTGTTGGGATTAAAGGCAAGCGCCATGACCACCGCCACGGCCACCACCACGGCCACCACCACCGCCACCACCGCCACTGCCGCCACCACCCTATAATAAAATACTTTTTAATGCTCAATCTAGAGCTGAGAGCTTCTGGGCAAGAATTATGTGGCAGGGAACCCCCACCTCCATCAAACTTTAAAAAACCTTACTGCTGGGGTCTGGTGGCACATACTTTTAATCCCAGTACTAGGGAGGCGGAAGATGGAGCGCTGTGATTTTTGAGGCTACAGAGTGAGTTTCAAAGTAGATGAGCTACATAGTAAGACTCGGTCTCAAAAATACATAAAAATATTGCTGTTCTGTAATTTTTCAACTAGAAAAATGGTTAAAAGACCAGTCAAGTTTTACAAAAAAGCCCAAATGCTTAGAAGACCCTGGGATAAAATGCAGGAAGGGTGGGAGCGGCTTTAGTGTGTTCCTCAGTTTCACTGGGTCAGAGCTGAGTTGATGCTAAGGAAACTCAGCTTAACCAAAACCGTGACTCATTCCCGCAGTAAACGAAGCTGGCACCTGTTTGGGAAACAATACCAGCAATACCCAATTCGTGTGGAGGATCCAGTGCACTCACCCTGCCAAACCTGCCTACGGACCTGAGAGGCTGACGTGTAGATGGAACCGCTGGTGATGTCACTACAAGTCTCTCTAAGTTCACACCCTGAACCTGGAGATCTCTTAGGACACAGGAGAAAAAGCAGGGCAAGGCAGCTAAGAGATGAGGAAAGGCAAGGCCGGCTTGTCTCATCACCTCTGTGACGCTGACCAGTGACTGCCCAAGTGGTGCTGTGGAAAATCCACAAGTACACACACACACACACACACACACACACACACACACACAATGTACTCTGGGAATGGCTTTGTGTTTTCAGGTCTAGTATCACAGACCACGACTGTCATACCACAGAATGCCAGTATGGGCAGGGAAGGCCTGGGAAACTAGGCTGCTGCAGCCGCACTGAGGCTTGCTTTGCAGACCCAGGCCAATGCGGTACAGCCAGTCTACAGTGACGTACGTATAATTTCCACCTACCTCCTCTACAAGATAAACTCTAGGGACTGACATGTACCTCAACAACATGACTCACACCATAGGTGTTGGATTACCAGCACTTGGAGGAATGACCCACAGAGGAGGAGCAGCTGGGCTTGGTGGGGCCCAAATGTCATTCTAGCACTCAGGAGGTGGAGCGAGGGGGGTGAGGAGTCCAAGGGCCAGCCTCAGTCACGGTGCACTCCCAGTCTGAGTACATGAGACTGTCATGGAGTGCGAGAATGAATGGAAAGGTGCTCAGAAGACCACGGGAAAAGAGCAACCGTGGATGGAGCAAATGGGCAAGATGGGCTGCGGGTGGGTGGGTGACCAGTGCAGCCTTTAATCCCAGCCCTCGGGAGGCGGAGGCAGGCGGATCTCTGTGAGTCCCAGGACAGGCAGAGCTAAGACGAGAGACCCTGTCTCCAACAACAGACCAGAACAAGAAAAAGGTAACATGCCACCAGACCCCAGCAGTAAGGTTTTTTAAAGTTTGATGGAGGTGGGGGTTCCCTGCCACATAATTCTTGCCCAGAAGCTCTCAGCTCTAGATTGAGCATTAAAACTGCATGAAGAGCTATTTTAAGATCCCAGTGCCTCGGTGGCCTTGGTTCAGCTTTGGTTATCACTTCTTTTCCTTGTCTCATGAGACTGGAGAGGAGGGGAATTGGGATGGAGAGAACACTGGCGTCAGAACCCTTGGATCTCCAATTTTACTTACTTTCATTTTTTTTTAAAGGTGTGTGTGTGGGGGGGGGGTGCTGGCACGCACCCATGTGTGGGGAGGCCAGAGGGCAGCCTGTGTGGCTGGCTCTCTATTTCTACTGTGTGATCCTGGGGACTGAACTCACATCACAAAGGCAAGCATCACCTGAACCAGCAGGCTAGCCTGGCCTACTTCTTGTGACTCACAGTTGGGTAGCGTGCCTTTTGTGAGGGAGAACAGTACCCTTTCCACCTCAGCCAAGGACTGGAAGGGAAGCGACGGCTGACCTCACTCCTACCGCCTCCAGGAAACTCAACTTCCAAGCACTACATATTTGCTTAGCTTTAGTGTTTTTTTTTGTTTGTTTGTTTGTTTTTTTAAGCAGGACTTTGCTATACAGCCCCGGCTGGTCTTGAGCTCATGATTCTCTTATCTCAGTGGCCGAAGGGTCAGGGTTACAGGTATGGGCCACCAGGCCTGGCTTAAGTATCTTTGAAGGAAGCCAGGAACTCCAACCTGAGAGCAAGTAAGAAGCATTTTCTAACATCTTGAAATCTGTCCTCTCTAGCCCTGGTAAACTGTCTCTCTATTCCCATCAACTCTCTCTGTCTTTGGAGTCTTTGACAGACGGGGAGCGAGCATGGGCAATTTTGAGGTTTCATGGGGAGGAAACTCGAAGGAATTAGGGCAGGAAGCCAGTGTAACTGGAGGCCCACACAACTCCACCTGGGAGCTCAGCAGGTAAGCAAGTGTAAAGAGCACACATGCCCGTAAAGACCGCTCGGAAGCCTTCAGACACAGACCAGCCTTTCGGGGCCTTCCTAAGCCAAGGATTCTCTCAGCAGTCACCTCTCCCTGTGGCACCAAGGTCCTCTCATCCAAGCACCCCACTCTACCCAAAGTCTTGGAGAGCAGAAAACACAGGGCCATGAGCTCAGAAAACTCTTTAAGACTTGGGAGAAAGGTTCTGGGCTGAGAACTCCTTCCTTCGGGTTAAAAACAACAGAAGCCCATCCCATCTCAACAATGGTGGGCAACCTGGAGCCTCTGAAAAAGGGGCCTTTAAAATTTCATGCTCGGTCATCCCTACACAATATCCCTGCAGAGGCACTGGGTGTAGCTGGGAAATGCCTGCTAGCCCAGCACCCGGGAAGTGGGGGTTCAAAGGCTGAGGGTTGGAGGCCACCTCGAGATGTTTAGTTCGATCCTATTTCAAAAAAACCAAGGGTTAAATCCAGACAATGATATATGCCCGCAATCTCAGCACCTGGGAGACCGAGGCAATAGAACTACACAGCAAGATCCCACATCAAGAGACAAAAACAGACCGAAAGAGGCTTGGGCTGTAACTTACTGGTAGCATGCCTGCCTTGCATGTGTGAGGTCCCTCAGCACTGCAGAACAGAAGCCAAAACAAACCAGAGGCCAACCCTATGAAACCCTAAGAGGCTTAGTCAAAACCACCTCGGCAAGGAGCAGAGTTATCCAGGGGTGTGTGTACCCGGGCATGTGAGTCTCCAACGGTAACTTCACTGAGCCCCAGGAGGTTGAGTCCCACTAACCTATCAATACTACTCTCTCTTAGAGCAGATCTAGAATCAAGGGTCAGCCCCTTTTCCTCAGGGCTCCCGGTTCCAAACTAGAGCCTGAGGAAACAGTAGCGGTCTCGAGAACCAAGTAAGAAGCCCCACCTGTTACTGCATGGGGAGGTAAGGAAAAGGTGGTCTCGGGGCTGCCCGAGCTTTGTGGGTAAGCATCCTTACCTGCCAGCTTCCAACGCCAGTCCTCCACTGAGACCCAAACTACATTCCGAGTCAGACCCGCTTTCGGTGTGTTTTCCGAAGCCGTTAGTCACGCCTGCCAAGGACACACAGAGTGAGCCCTGAGTGCAGAAGCCCCTTCCCTGACACATGCCTCAGAGGACTGGAGTGGGTGGGAGGCTGTGCCGCCCCTGGAAGGAATGCATCTTCGGTGGCAGTGAGCAGACTGTATTACCTGAGCAGCACACACCTGACTACTGAGGAAAAACCTAAGACTTGCCCACCCAGGCAAGCTCACAAGTCCCTGGATCTGCTCTAGTGTTGAACCTCAATTATCAGGGAGTTCCTGTGCCCCACGGAGCCACCGGCTCTGCTGATAAGCACTCCCAAGCCCTCCCCATCCCGGCTGGCAGCAGGAGCTTCCTTCTTCGGGTGTGACGGCAGAAGCTAAGGCAGGATAAGGGCTCAGTGTCCACCACACCCGGAGATTATCTCAGAGCTGAGGAGAGCCGAAGAGAGTTGAAAGGCCAGGGCAGCCCAGATCACCGCAGAATGGAGCATCAGGGCCATGACTCCAGGCTGAGCGTGGCCCTTGCCTCTTGTGTAGCAGAGGATGCTGTTGGTATGACTCCTTTTGCAGCAAGGTGCCTCGGGTAGAGAGGGCTTTTTCATCATCCCAGGATCACCTAAGCATGAAGGCTTCCTTTTTTTTTTTTGACCTATTGAGCCCTAACTCCAGAGTTCTGTACGTCTGACCATTGAACAGAGACTGAAAATGGATCGGCCCGATTTGGGAGCTGTGACAGACACCTCACACCTCGGCTAGAAAATTGTGAGGCCAGCCACACTTGTGAGAGCAGGTGCCTGAGCCAAGATGTGGTTCTCCTAACCCGGCCCTCCCTCTAGTATGACGACCTCAATGTGTGTCACAGAACCCCACTGTGCCTGGCCTGTAAAGGTTCAGCGCCTGCTTTCTGAGCTCCAACTACGGTTGTGTACAGAAGTGTTCCTGAGTGCCAGCATGTGGGGGCTAGGAAGGGAAAGCTGATTTATCGTATCCCCAAGCAGTGGGGCTCCAGGTTGATGGGCCTGACGTAGGGACTAGCAGAGGCTTTCATTTTAGTGCACTGTTCTCCGTGCCGTCTGGCTGAGACACAGAGCCGGAAGGATGACAAAAATGGCTCCTGTAGGCTGCTATCTGCTGTGTTCCAAATCTGCTCCAACCTTAGCCGGCGGGGAGGGACCACCAGCCCCACATCAGTAAGCCACAAACAGGCTCTGAGGGAACTTCCCTCCAGGCCACAGAGCCAATAGGAAGTCAGGACCCGAACTTCAAGCTCCTGCCCTAATAGCCTAAACGTCTAGCCTACTACGGAGAAGCGTGGTCGACAGGAAGGGAAGAGAGGAAAAGCAAGTGCTGGCCCACAGTCCAAAGATACCACACAAAGGGTGAGTGACAGGAGGAGTCAAAGTGAAGAGCGGCTGTCCCACCCCACCAGGACCCAACTCACCTGCCTGGCACTTAAGGCCCGCACCTGCGCCTTGGTTCCCGAGGCTGCAGTGAACACCCACTGAACTGTCCTAGAGAGAATGTCTTCCTCCTTGTCACATGCTCTGAAGGCAGGCCCTGGGCCCTTCCCACCAGCTACCCTCACCCTCAGGGCCGGCTTGGGTGCCCCCTGAAGACAAATCTCAACCCCAGGTCAAGTTCTCTGAATAGCTCTGGCAGTGTTACTCCACGCCCGACCCCTCGCTTTGGGCTCTGATCTCTCAGTGACTCCGAGGACCTCTCTACTTTCTCCTGGACCGGGACTCTCGCGGAGCTGAACTGGCCCTGCCGTATGACCCTCTCCCACCGGGGACCAGCCCGCCCGCTCTGGGCACGCGGTCAGGACTCCAGTGACTATGACCCGCTCTGCCCCCTCCTCCCCCACCCACCTCTGCTGCAGCTGGCTCCTTTGCTGCTCTGGACACGCACGTGTGTTCCCACCCTCCAAGACATTTCATCTGTCCTCAGAACAGTCTGCCCCTCTTCACTCCTTCAAATCGTTTCCAAATGTCCCCTTCCCTGGCTGCTTGTCTCATGCCCCTAGCACTCTCTGCCCTCTCCTCTGATGGATTGATGTGTGTTTTTTACAAAGTCTCTAATACAAGAAGAGCTCACATTTGCCTTTAGTCTATTTCTTCTGGAAGAGATTTTCATGTTTTGTTCACTAATTTCCCTCCAGTGCCTAAGACAGTGTCTGATAAAAATATCCCAAGAGCACACTGAAGTGAAGGTAAAAACCATTTTACCACATGAAATCTTACATTCCCCTAAGGCCAGTGATCGTCCCATAGACAATCTGGCCCTCTGAAAACAACTGCTCTAAGCCTGTTTTCTCACAGAGGCCACCGGAGATGGCGGACAGGAAGAGGAGGAGGGGGAGGAGGAGCCCCCTGGCGGGGCGGAGCAGGGAAGCGGGTGGGAAAAGAAGTCACAGGCAGGATCACCTGGCTCTTCCTCCTGCTGAGGGGACCTGGCCCCTTCACTGTCACTACAGCCCCTGCTCCTTGGCCGCTTTCTGGAACAGTGCTCGTCTTCCGTGCTGGCTGGAGAAGCAGGAGAGCCCACTGCACTGTGGTCCTCGCCATTCTCCAGGGTCCCGTCCGGACTCCTCGGCAGCTTAACCCCATTCTTGGCCTTCTTGAAGAGGACTGACGTTCGGCGGCCCACCCCACTGAGAGGGGTACCAGGAGGGCTGTCAGGGTTCACGGGAGACAGTCTGTCAATGCCATTGTCACTGAGCAAGCATCGCAAGGGCTCGCTCCCCAGCTGCAGGGCTGGTTTCTCCAAGAGCTCATCATCTTCCACCTTCCGGGACTTTAGGGACCGGCTTGAAGGCTTGCTGTCACTGATAGGTTTCAGGGTGGGGGGGTCTGGGGGGGATTCCTGTTCAGACAAGGATGGTGCAGGCCCAGTAGGCTCCAGGGTTGGTGGAGCAGGTAATTTGGAATCATCTGTTAGAGAAAAAGAGAACCTGCTTGAACATTCTAGCAACAGTCTGCTCCTACAAGCCAGATACTGACTCTGATGAGCAAGGACCAAAAGCATGAACTATTCCATGGCTTTGACACCTTTTAGACCTTAGATCAAAGCAAAAGTTAAAGGAGGGGTAAGCTCTGTTCACACTTAAAAGTTCTCAATCCTCGCTGTGTGTTAGAATCAACTGGAGAGATGGCTCAGTGGTTAAGAGCACTGGCTGTTCTTCCAGAGGACCCAGGTTCAATTCCCAGCACCCACATGGCAGCTCACAAACTACCTCCAGGAGACCCAATATCCTCATGCAGACATAGATGCACACAAAACATCAATGCACATAAAAATAAAAATCATTAAAAAGTAAAAGAAAGAAAGAAAGGAAAGAAGGAAGAATTTAAAGCCCAAGTTACACTCCAGACCAAACGAAGGCCAACCACAAAGGGAGGACGGACGTCCTATGAAGAGCTGACAAAGTGAGCCTAATCGTGTGTGCGGCAAACGCCATGCATGCGGCAAATGCCATGCATGCTTGAGAAAGCTGCCTCAGTCAATCGTTAGGGGACTGGAGGATCACACTTCTCACCTGACGTCAGCACTTTCTCACCTGTCCTCGGCTCTGCCTTGGGAGGGCACACAGCAGGCAGAAAAGGGGTTTGCAGATGTAGGGAACTCAGACCAAGTGCATTAACTCTGGGGTTCCCAGACAAGTCCGCCCTACTGGAACTTCGCTCCTAACCATAGCCCAGATCTCCCCATATGAACCTCTGTGACTTTCTCGTGAACCCTCTGGGGGACGCTCTGTCACTGTCACGAGTCAAGGAGTGGAATTCAGATGACATTCGGACTGCCATATGAAAGTTGCAAGGAGTCACAATGGTCACGTAGCCTTCTGATGTCCCATGTGGCTTCTCCATCATGTCCCCAACCCACAATAAAACACGCCAATCTCTTCACTTTGAGCCTTCCCAAGTAGAGGTAACTCCATGTTTAGACGATGTGAGTGGCAGGCCTCTCCAGACCCTGGGCTCAGGGCAAGGGCAGGCACCAGTAAGAAAATTCTGTCCTCCCAAAGGGAAGGCACGGGAAGCAGCTCAGCTCGTAAACAGCTCCAAATCACTAAGGTAGGGGACAGTTTAGAAAGCTTACCAGGTGACTCTAATACGTTGGTTGCAAATGTCGTTTACACTTGAGAAAGCCACCTGCTTAAATCAATTAGACTTTTTTTTTTTTTTTTTTTTTTTTGAGACAGGGTTTCTCTGTGTAGTTTTGTGCCTGTTCTGGATCTCACTCTGTAGACCAGGCTGGCCTCGAACTCACAGAGATCCACCTGGTTCTGCCTCCCGAGTGCTGGGATTAAAGGCGTGCGCCGCCACCGCCACCGCCACCGCCACCGCCACCGCCACCGCCACCGCCACCGCCACCGCCACCCATCTTCAATTAGGCTTTTTATAGTCTGAAACCTCTGCCTGGGATGGCCTACAGTCATGGCCACCTGGGATCAAAACCAAGAGTTAAGCTGGGCAGTGGTGGCCTTTAATCCCTGCACTCAGAGACAGAGGCAGGCAGATATCTGTGAGCTCAAGGACAGCCTACAGAGAGAAAGCCTTCCTCAAAAAACCAACTAATCAACCAGCCGAACAGGCAAACAAAAACCCCAAGAGTCCAGGCCAGAAGAAGGGCCTTTACTTCCTTCTCACACCCTAGTCTAACCGTTCTCGGAGCTTCTCCAGAGTGGCAGAGTAAGCTGTACCATGCAGTGCCACTCTGTGAGGTGCAAAATTGCCTCATACTTAAATACTATGAAACTGCTGGGCTCCAGCACCCTATTCTCTATGACTCTCTGACAGCCCTGTCCCTAACCCTTCCAGAACCTCTGGGTCCCCTGGGAGCCCAGACCAATACAAGAGCCAACATCTACTCTGACAAATGAATTTTGTTCTCTATTGATTGCTAAGTATTTGGTTGTTGTTTTTTTTTTTTTTAAGATTTATTTATTTATTATGCATACAGTGTTCTGTCTGCATATACACCTGCAGGTCAGAAGAGGGCACCAGATCTCATTATGGATGGTTGTGAGCCACCATGGGGTTGCTGGGAATTGAACTCAGGACCTCTGGAAGAGCAGCCAGTGCTCTTTAACCTCTGAGCCATCTCTCCAGCCCCGATTGCTAAGTATTTGTAATAGCATCCCAAACGTGTTGTGAAGGGAGACCCCTTCCAAGAGCTTTGTTTACCTGCAGGGTCGCCCTATACTCGGAGGAGAATACTCTCAAGAGATGTTAGCCTTTTCCTCCTCCTGACCACCCTCCCACCCCAAAGCCTGCCCCCTGCGTGTGACCCACTCTCACCTCTGTCCCCATCGTCTTCTGGCTCTTCCGGCAAGGCCTGCTCCAGCACAGCTGTGTCCCCCCGAGGTCCTGCTGCCAGCTCCCCATTGGACACCGTCTTGGTCACTGACTGTGGTGGCGCTGGCTGTGCGAGCTTTTGCCGAAGGGCATTGATCTCCCTGCGGAGCATGCGGACCCGACGGGTGCGGGCCCCGCTGGACCGCATAGCGCTCACCAGGTCAAGTTTCTCCAGCAGCTCCTTCAGCTGTGCCTCTGGCGACAGGTGGGCCCGGTTCTCTGGGATGAGGATGTTATCCACTGCCAGGGAAAAGAGAGGACAGGGGAGGCTGAAGGATGTGCCCAGCGCAGAGCAAGAGAAATCTTCTGGATGGAAAGTAAGGCCCTGGAGTGCCCAGGCCAGCGACTTCCAGCACCGACAGTGTGGGCCTTGGCCCCACAACACCGCTGTCTAGGAACGACAGGTCGGTGGGGGGAACAACTACAGGAAGCAATTCAGTTTCGGCTGTGGCCAGACAGCAGACATGCAGCGGTGTAGCAATCCCCGGCCCGAGCGATTATGCAGCAAGCAGGGGCAGGCCGAGTGGTGTGGTGCTCACATCACAGGCACCCTACTTTCTGGCCCCCACCCCATGCACCAGTGCACACTCAGGGTGCAGGGGAGACTCCAGAGAGGCCTTGGCTTTGCAGCCAGCCAGCTATGCCTTTCCGACCTCTCAATAGGCACTCAGTGCACCGTTTAGGCCGCAGAATTATTCTATCCACACACTGAACACACCCATGGGCTCCCAAGCACAGCTCTGCACCCCCCAAGGCCCACCCTGATCCTGGGCTTTCTGGGCCCCGTCCTCCTGCTGCTCTTCCTGGTCCTCCTCCTCCCTACCCGTCCAAGCTTCTCACCATCCTCCCAGGAGAATCGGTAAAAGTCTTCCAATTTGGGTGACTCGGGCAAGTGGGTGCCCCTCTCGGGATCATAGCCGATGTTCTCTGCCTGCCGACGGGCATGCCGCAGGATGGCCCCTCCCAGGTCCCGCAGGCGGACAGCTGCTCGGTGGAAAATTGTGTCTTTAGCATTATACTTCATGCAGTTGGTAACTATAAGGTTAAAGTCCTCCTCAAACTCCTCCAAGGTGTGGTACAGGTGAGATTCCAGCTTCCGCCTCATAGTAGAAAAATCCATTGGCTTGGATATGAATTCCAGGTAATCTGGAACCTAAACATATAAAACCTGTACAATTACAACAACTATTTACGAGCCACGCAGGCGCACCCTCACTGCTGCTCCTGACCTCCCAACTCTATTGTCGCCGTGTTAGCCTCACCAAGAGCCGCGGGGCACGGTCCACCCAGACAACGGGCAAGTCTGCTAGCCTGCCAAGACACCACCCACCCTCAGTTCTGGATGCCCTGTGGCCCAACCTCTTCCTTGGCCTACTCAGAGGCGATTTCCAGAGCAGGCTTGCTGCTTGGAGGGGTGACTTGCCTCACTCAGGCTGACAGGTTCAGCAAAGATGTGTGCAGGGTCCTTCTCCTGCAGCAGGTCCAGAGTTGTCCTCAGCAGAACTGTGAACGGCATCAGCTCCAGCTCCATGGCAGCCTGCTGCACCCTGACCTGTAGTGAAATAAGGAATAACCAGAATACCTCAACAAAGACTCACTGAATCTTTAACCTGATTGTCAATCACGTGCCCCAAATCTCCACAAGGTATGAAGCTGCCCACCCCCATCCCCAGGATAAGACACCAACAGTGCTATGACTTGAATGTCTCCCAGAAGTTCACATGTCAGAATCTTAACTCCCAGTGCCTGAGGATGGAGAGGTGCTGGCATCAAGTGGGCTTCACCCTCAGGATGGATTCGGAATCCTGGGAGTGGACTGTCATAGGAGTAACGGTTGTACACTCTCCTACATGTGCTCTCCACCAAAACATGCTGTGGCATGGAGCCCTCTCACCAGCCTGTCGCCATCCCCATACTTCCCAGCCTCCAGAATTGGGAGCTAAATCAACTTTTCTTTGTAAATGACCCAGACTATGATAATATATTATAGTGGCAGAGAATAGATTAGAACAAACAGCTACTTTATAAATGTTTTCTATGTATCAAGACCATACCAAAACTTACAGAAGTAATAACAATTGATTATAATAATTAACACTTTTATAATTCATGTTAGGTCCCAAGTAATGGCCTAAGCATTTTTAAAAGATTTATTTTTAGTTATGTGTATACGTCCTATGGGATGTATGTGTGTATGTGTGTGTGTGGGGGGGGACCAGTCTGAGCACTTTATGTAACACTGAGTGTGCCAGGTAGGTACAGACAGACATTTCTCAAAGAAGTGGAGACAGAGAGACCTGGCTCCAGGTCATACAGCTGATGGGGCAAAGTTAGCATGGAGCCCCACTCAGCTTCTAGAGTACTCCAGACCATTACACCACACTGCTCTTCTCCCTGTACTACCTCAGTTAACGACACAGTAACTGTAGCAGAAATTAATACCCCCACTTTATAATTACCATGGTTGAATTACCATGAGTTACCTGGTTGGAAAGTAACAGAAAGCATCTGAGCCTGGGCCTTAGTCCAAGCACACTGATAAAACTCAATGTGAGCACATGTGTATCTCACAAGCACTGAGAGCGAGCTCTCGCTGAGAACACCTGTGTGGGCCCAGGTGACCAGGGAGCCCAGGCCTACCGCTCACGCAGCACCTGCAGTGCTACCCTGTACGATGATATTTTACATGTACGCCCTAACATGAAACACCACAAGGCCACAGCTGAGACTGACAAACTCCTTCCTGCCTCTTGTCTACATCAACATAACCCTGCCTGCCTACCCAGAGCCAGGGCCGCCTCCTCCTCCTCCTCCTCCTCCTCCTCCTCCTCCTCCTCCTCTTCCTCCTCTCATTTTTTCTGAACCAGAGGCAGGAAGATAATCTCAGCTATAGGACCAAGCCTGGATACAAATTATAGTTTGACCTGTGGAGACCTTGAGGGAATCTCCCTGGCCACTCATGCTAAACACAGAGGGAGATGCCCAGGATGCAGAGTGGAACTCAAGCTGTTGGCCTAGGAAAGAAGGGCTTGTGCTTGAACTGAGTGGAAGGAGGAGGAGCAATTTTAACCCAGGCCTTGAAAGCACTCGAGTAACAGCTGCTATTCTTGGACTAGAGAGAACAGTTTGGGCTTGTCGTCCATTCAATTAATAATATTTGCTCTGTGCCATGTGCGGAGCACTCCAGCAGACACTCCAGCAGGGCAGAGTATCAGTACTACCATTAATAATAACAGCATACCACCTTGCCAGCCCTGATGATGCACCAGGCACTATTTTCAACTGTTTACATATATGAATTCATCTCTTTACGCTGTCGGCTCTGCCGTTATCTCTTTACTGAAGTCGAGGAAACAGAAGTATTCAGAGATTAAGCAGTTTGTTTACTGCTACAGAAATGGAAAGTAACAGAGCCAGGTTTAGGCTCAGTCAGCCAACACACCTCCTGCTCCTAAACCGCACGCTATACCACCGACCTTATCATTCCCTGTGGTCAGGGACTTTTAGAACGTTCTTGAACTGAGGCTGGAAATTTTAAATGACTCTGAGTCCATAAATGCTTAAGGCCCAGGGAGAACCTCAGGCTGGAGGCTGTCATCTTGCAATGTCATGCGATGGCTCCAGAAGCTTTTCAAAACATCCAGGTCAATCTCCCTCCAAAAACTCCTAAATCAGAAACTCTAGTCATGGGCTCAGGTGTGAAGGACAAAGCTTAGGCTCCAGCCCAAATGAGTGGAACTACGAAATACAGAAGCCACCAGAAGCATCCCACCCAATACCAAGTGGGCAGACCACAGAGCCCACTGTGCTCAGCACGAGAGGGAAGACTGAATGCTGGCACCAGAGAGGTGGCCCCCAGTCCTCTGGGGCCACAGAGAGAAAGGGACTCTAGCGAGAGCCTGGCCAGGCCTCTGCTCACCTGCTCCCGCTTCAGCTTCTCCCGTTTGCGGATGAGCTCGATCAGCAGCCGGGCCCGCTCCAGGTCGTGCCGGAGTTTCTGCCAGTACTTCAGCTCTTCCTTCACCGCGCTTGTCTTCTCGTCCTGCTCCCGCTGAGCAAGGCAAGAACAAGGTGGGCGGTGGCCTCCTTCCTCCCCACAGTCCCCGCTTCAACATTCAGGACTCCTGACTCTTCCCAGACCAAGGTTGCTGAGAGCCCTTTCCCAACACCACCCAGGGCCTTTCCTCCGAGCTTCCCGGTGCTGTGATGCTTCCTGGGTGCTGAGCAAGAGCAAACAGTGAAGAGTAACCTGGGGTTGCTTCCCCAGCCCCAGAGACATGGCTGCTCAGCTATGGCCCTCAGAGCTGGAAAGAATTTCAGGAGAAAACTAGCAAGCAGGGGTTGAAAGAATCTCACTCTAGAGCTTTGCCTTGGCTAGAGAACAAAGTGAAGTTCTCACTAGTAGCTTGTGGTTTGAAAATACTTTGGGGGCTGGAGAGATGGCTCAGTGGTTAAGAGCATTAATTGCTCTTCCAGAGGTTCTGAGTTCAATTCCCAGCAACCACATGGTGGCTCACAGCCATCTATAAAGGGATCCGATGCCCTCTTTTGGCATGCAGAAATACATGCAGGCAGAACACTGTATACATAATAAACAAACAAACAAATAAATAAATAAGAAAATACTTTTGTAAAACAGCAAACATCAGTGAATACAGGGCTGAAAAGATGGCTCAGTGGTTAGGACCTGCAGAGGACCCATCTTAGATCAACCTGTAACTCTAGTTCCAGGGGAGTCTGCCTCTAGCCTCTACAGGCACCTGCACTATCACACAAATTCATGAGCACGTAAATGCACATGCACACATTTAAAAAGTAAAAAATTAATCTAAAAAAAACCCCACAAAAATCAGTGACTCCCATCCTGGAAGAGGTCACTATTGCTGAGGGAAGGAGGAAGCTCCGCATTTGAAACATAACAATGTAACGGCTTAAAGCAAACAAAAACTGGTAACAAACGGGAATCTGTGGACACAGTGATCCATAATGTCAAATGTAATACAATGGTCGGGGTGAGACTCAGAACAAGACTTGTTGGGAGGAGTTTGCTAATGCTACAGAGACTTCCGGAACCCGAAGTTCAGAAGGAACCAGATAGCTGGTGGAGGTGGTCACGGTGGTGGTGGTGGTGGTGGTGGTGGTGGTGGTGGTGACTTTAATCCCAGCACTGGGGAGGCAGAGGCAGGTGGTTCTGAGTTTGAGGCCAGCCTGGTCTACAGGGAGAGCTACAGGACAGCCAGGGCTACACAGTGAAACCCTGTCTCAAAAAAAAAAAAGGGGGGGGGGGACCAGAAGAGAAGCTAGTGATTCAAGAGTTTAGATATGACATGCACACAGGATGCCCAAGGCACAGGTCATGTGGAGTCTTGTGCTACTCTGCAGCAGAGTGAGGAGGCCCAGGAGAGATGGAATGGAGCAGCTGAGGCAGGAATGCCCAATGATGTGAATGTGGGAAGGGAACCAGGAGCGGACAGCACTTAGTGTGCAGGGACTGCTGGTGTGAAATGGCCACCACAGCTGGCCAGGCCGCAGACTATTTACCATGACATGTCTGGGGGCGAAGGGCACCTGCTCTTCCTTTACACAGTGGGCCCACACTGGCTCTCACTCAGCCTACCTCTTCTGTGACGTCTGGAGGGTTCGACCTATGCATTTGTGACACTGGGCTCTTCACACTGCCCTGGAGTTTGTCCTTAAGTCAAGCCTTGTAGTGATACATTTTTTTAACAAAACTATCTCTTGGCCTCAAAGAAACTGAACTTTTGGCAGACTCTACAGCCAAGTTAATAATATGCCTTGAGATCATTTAAGACTCTGTACTTGGGAGGCAGAGGCAGGCAGATCTGAGTTCAAGGCCAGCCTGGTCTAGAGTTCCAGGGCAGCCAGTGCTACATAGTGTTTAAAAAGAAAAAAAGACTATGTAATCAGTCTGCTGTCCTACTGTGTACTTAGCCTGTTTAACAGCCTTTAAGAGACAATGTAATCAACCTTACTGGCCTTGGATTTCCTGTGCAATCAGTTTTTACAATCTAAGCATAGCTTTCATCTTGTTATGTTCTTTCCCATGTCTTTGACCGAGACTAGAATGTGGGTGAGTGTGTGTGTGTGTGTGTGTGTGTGTGTGTGTGTGTACACTCGCCTGAGAGTACGTGAGTGTTGTGATAATCGTTTGCTAAAAGCAGTCAACAGATTAGAAGCAACCTGAAAACAAATATCGACCATAAATGTTGGGAACAACATGTGAATATAGCTTTTAAGGTTTCTTTGCAGTATTGCGTGTTTCTGGGTCAGCTGGGGTAAAATGACTTCTTCCTTGTAAAACTGTCAAAACTTTGTGTAAGGAATTTGAGAGATGGTGCAGCCGTTATGAGGACTGGCTGCTCTTGCAGAGGAACAGGGTTCAGTTCCCAACATGCACATGGGGGCTAACAACCCTCTGTAACTTCAGTTCCAGGTCATCCAAAACCCTCTCCTGGTCTTTGTGGACAACAGATACCCACATGGTACACAGACACCCATGCAGGCAAAACACCCATGCACATAAAATAAATGTAAAACAAACAAACAAAATCCCTCATTGGTTCCCATGCCATGTTTTCTGTGCTGTTCAATTAATACAGAGGAAAGCCCTTCATTAGGTACAGGTGCAGGCACGACAGACATCATACACATACAGGTACAACTCAGAGGCACGACAGACCACACACACACACACACACACACACACACACACACACACACACACACTAGGCAACAAACTACAGGTAGGCCAGACAGATGTAAGACACAGGGAGGGAGAAGTAGAGAATTGAACTTTGGTCAAACTAATCCGAGAGGAATGGCTTCTCGGAAGTTCTTTAGTACACGAAGCAACGCAAAGCATCTCCCTTCAGAAGAAGCCACTGTCAGGTCTGAGGCTCTCTGGGGGCTGCAGACTGTTCCTGGACAGATCACTCTGAGGTGATTGCCTACAGGCCACGGCTGCTGGGAAGGAAGGCTCAGGGAGGAGGAGGAGAGCCTCCCCTCCCTCCACTGCATCCCTCCTGCAGCAGCAGGCTCCACCCTCACCCACCTGCTCGGCGTTCCTCTGGGACTGTAAGTGGGAGTGCAGACGCCGGATGAGGGGCACACCGTTGCGGGCCTGCCGTTTCAACAGCCAGTAGTTGTGAAGCCGCTGCATGAACTGGTTTTTCCTCTGAAAGGACAGACCACTACAGATCTTGTTCAACCTTGAGTAGAGGCACAGGGGGGGAGAGACAGGTCAGTGAAAGCTCGGGCTACACACAGCTACGCATCCTATGCAGATCTCAGTTCTCTTCTGACCTTACGGAGGAAGACAGAATAGAGTGACCAAATGCCTCACCTCAGGGGAGAGCTGAGAGAAGACAGCAGAGTTAAGCAGCTCGGACCGAGCAAGCCACGTGTCACCTGCTTCCCTGCCTTGCCTTGCAGGCCTGCTCCTCCCACGGAGCCCTGTCCTGTCCCAGAAGCCCTGCTGCCTGCTGCTGTCACATGCTTTCAGTCCTGAGCAAGGCCTGTGCTCCTCGACCCGCAGCCGCCTCTCGATGGAAGCAGCAGAAAGAAAACAGGAATTGGAGTACGCTGCGTGCTGCGTGGCCAGTTTCCTGCCCTCTGTGGCCCAGGATCTCACCAGACCCTGGGGCAGCCCACAACCAAGCTCAAAGAAAGTCAGCCAGGTTACTGCTTTCTGCCCCCAGTGTAACCTCTTAGAGTCACCTGACCTCTGGGAGGGTTTTGTGTGTGTACATGTGTGAGAGATGGGGTCTCACTAGACCACCCAGGCTGGCCTGGTACTTACGATCCTCCTGCCTCAGTCTCCCAAGTAACTGGGGTTATAGGCATGTACCCAGCTGACCTTTTGATTTTTCATTTGAAAACTCTTAGCATCCTAAAAATGCCTAATTTTTAACCAAATGGAAAAAGGAGAAAAACCACAAACATCGAAACCTAAGAGGACAGAAGGCTCTAAAACTGCAGCCAGCCAAGTCTTAAGATCTGGGTTTAAACTAGTACCACTCGTGGGGGTGGGGCAGGGAAGGAGGCAGTGAACCGCTTCAAGAGCAGCAGCACCGTGCCCACACAAAAGGGTACGGGCAGGCACCTGAGGACCACGCTGGTGGCCCTCGGCGGGACCTGAACCCGTGACCCCTTCTCTACTACAGCACACGCCACGGTAAGCAAGGCCCCGTGCTCTCGTGCTTCCCTCTGCTCTAGCTCTCCGCCCCACTCCTCAGAGAGAGAACCAAGTGTAGCTAGCTAATCGAGGTGAAACTTCCAGATGGGCGTGTTGGGCGGGCACTGCCCATCAATGCCTTCTCCATCTCCGGTCAGATGTTCTTGCCCCAGAGCCAAGCTTACCTAGGCCTTTCCCCAAAGGACGGACCCCCACCGACACCCATGCCAAGCACACCTGCCCACCTGCAGGCCAGCCCCCTTCCCCTGCCTCTTGGCCACGGTGGGGTCCACGGCATTTGTGCGGGCGGCCGGGCGGGGGAGGAGTAACAGAAACAAAGCAGCAGCAGCAGCAGCCACCGTTTATTGAGCGCCTACTATCTGCCAGGTACTGTGCTAAGTGTTCGACTCACATTGCCTCATTTGTTCCTCACAAGTCTGTCGGGGGAGCTTGCTTAGAGCAATTAAGCAACTTGCCAAAGGTCACACGGAGTATTAAATGGTGTGTTTGTTCTTAGCCAGTAGAGCGGCTCCTCAAACAGCAGCTATGACAACCAACAGCTAGCCCCAGGGTACAGACACCCCGCATATGGGGACTGACTAAGCACGGACCCAGTTACCGCAAGAAAGAGATGGCCAAGGCCAGCTCTGGGTCTAGAAGACGCGAGAGTTGCTCAAGTTCCCGGCGGAGCCTCCCTGTCTGTCCTCACCTTGTTCTGGTATCCTCCCAGGGCAGCAGCAAGCCTGGCCGCCTGTTCCCTCGCACGGCTGATGTCTTACAACCCGCCAGTCCTCCTTTATCCCCAACCTTCTCGTCAAGGCTCGGGCAGGAGACAGCCCAGAATCTGCCCCTCTCCATCTAGCCCCACCCCTTAGAACAGGATGTGGCATGTAGTAAGTGCTCAATAAACACCTCATCGAATGAACAAAGGAGCGAACAACTTTACCTCCCGTGGCTGTGGTTTCTTCATCTAGGAATGTGGGAGAAGGTGCAAGGACCACATTAGATGAATAGTCTCCAAGACTCCTTCCTTCTCTAATGCTACAGACTTTTCTTTCTTTCCTTTTTTTTTTTTTTTTTTTTGGACAGGGTCTCACTGTGAAGCCCTTGCTGGCCTAGAACTCCCAGAAATTCACCTGAGGCTGCCTCCCAAGTGCTGGGATGAAAGGTGTGTACCACCACATCCGGCTACCACTGTACACTTTTTAGAGGAATCACCCTGAAGTGGCCTCTGCTGGGAAATCTGCCCTAAGCTCCTGACCCTCCCACACCCCCAGCTACCGCACAGCTATGCACTGCCGGGTTGATTCAGGCACAGTGATCTCTCTGCAGACTCAGGGAGGTCTGGGTGGCTTGGTTTACAGAGCTGAACTTTCCCCTGAATATAAAGCTTCTCAAGGAGGACTGCCCCGCCCACATCCCTCGTAAATAAAAAGTCCCCATCTTTCCCAGGACAGAGCTTTTTGGAAGGCAAGTGTTGAATCCTTAACACAGTAGCTCCCTGTTTAGAACAGTTCTGTCTTCACATGGGTTTGGGGGAGCCTGTGTGAGAGCCCTTGGGGCTGTCACACAGATGAGGCGATGTGAAGGACACAGCCTGCATAAACAAAGACCAAAGACGATAACCACCTAGAAATCCAGGGAATAGTTAACAGCGGAGAATTATACTGTTCACAATACCATTTAGTGTCACTGTGAAAACTATCATCCTTAGTTGATACACCGTCACCTGAGTTTCTAAGCAACGTAAGTGATTTATGTCACTCCGAGCCAGAGGAAACACATTACTTGGAGGGCACGACAAAACTACAAAAGAGGCCCCGGTTCCAAAGAACAAGCTTGAATATGGGAGCCCAGAGGAGGTCAGATATCCATCAACCATATTTGGAGGAGACCTGGCCTAGGGTGAAGACCAAACCAAGAGCCCTTCTGATGAGGCTCACCTGTAAGAGGGTATCTGTGGGACAGTGACCATGGGGACGGTGGTGGAGGGTGTCTCCCGGCCAGCTTCCTCTGGCTCCTTCATCTTCTGCTTTGAACTCATCTTATTCTTCTTGGACACCACCTTGAGGGGGCTGCCCACCCCACCTTGGCCTTCCTGATCTTCCTCCTCTGCTTCTTCCTCGTCCTCCTCACTGCCACCCTCTTTCAGCCCGTCCTCATCCCCCGCCTCACTGAGGCTTCTGGGGGAGCCACCCTTTCTCCTGGCAGTGGCAGCACACGGAGAGTGGGCCTCACAGTACGCGGTCTTTCGCACGGTAAAGATGGTGCCGTTGAGGCTGGTTTCTCTCATGGGCTCAATCTTCATGAAGAGTCCAGCCCGCTGTGCGCATGTCACATGGAAGGCGGTGTAGCAGTTGACCTTATGGCACTGGATGGCTGCACCCAGCCCCTTCCGCTTGCAGATGTAGCAGGTCAGTTTCCAGCGAGCAGGTGGAATGTTGTCAATGCCCTCAATGGGCTCCAGAAACACGGTGTTGGCAAAGCAGACTTCAGGGATCCAGATGGCGCAGACTACGTGGGCCCAGTGACCGTCACTGGTCTGTTTGAAGGCCCCACCTTTATTGGGGCAAAGGACACAATCTACTGGCCGGGCGGGAGACTGCAGGCAGCAGCGGCATAACCACTGGCCCTCGGGGATGTAGGGGACGCCATAGCACTCCTGGTGCACAGCTAAGTTGCAGATGTCGCAGAACAGGATGACGTTGCTGTTGTGGCATTCATCATCCAGGCACACACAGCAGAAGGCGTCTTCGTCAATGAGTGACTGCTGAGCCCCGCTGCTGCGACTTTCCAAGTATGACTCTTTCTCCAGCCGGTCCACCAGCAGCTCGAAGGTATCTGGTGACACCAGACTGTGCCCATCTACACGCCGCTTCTCGTTGACCATGTCTAGCCAGGCAAGGTCCTCCTCATCCATGTCATATTCTACCTCTGCATCCAGGTCTTCAGGAGGCTTCTCAATGTAGCGGTAATAGGCAGCAGGCAATGGGGGTGCTTCCGGCTGGCTACCTGTGTCTACCACGCGAAAGCTGGGCTGTGGGAGGTGGAAGGAGGTGCCAGACGCGTGCTTGGAACAGGACTCCTTCTTCTTGCCTTTAGATGAGGGCTTCTTGGACTTGGCAGGGAACTGAGGCTGCTCACTGTTTTCCTTGTTACTGTTGCACTCAGTGATATCCTGAGCAGTTAGCTCATCTTCAGTGATGATCTTGAGTGGGTCATAAATGCTGATACGATGTAGGCGGCCATCGATGTCGACCTCGACAATCCTCTGGGCTTGGGCGTATGTCAAAGTCTCTCGTGTGGGTGAGCACTTAAGACTGTATGGGGATGGGGATCTCCGGCCCTCGGCATTCTGCCGTGACTTTCGTCGAGGCTTCCTCATGGCAACTAGAAACCGCAAGGACAAGCCTAAGGAGAGAAGGCCACAGGAGTGTGAACTGGATATTCGTTGCTACATGCACTCACTCACCCTTCCAACATCAAGTGGACCAAGAGACCCGGCTGTTTCCTCCACACAACAGCCCTCTAAAGCATCCGAGAGGCATCACCTTCTTTAAGTCTTTTTACAAACATCACTTATCTGTGAAACTTTTTTTCCCAATTTCTTTAAAATTGCAAATCCCAGCCAGGTGGTGGTGGCAGCGCTCACCTTTGATCTCAGCACTTGGGAGGCAGAGAGGGGCAGATCTCTGTGGGTTCCAGGCCAGCCTGATCTACACATTGGCGGTCCGGGACAGCCAGGGTTACAAAAGAAACTGTTCATTCTGTTTTTATTTTCTTTTTGGTAACACCATCTTCTACGCCACATAATTTACCTATTTACTGTGTTTATTATTTTCTACTTCTTTTAGCTAGAATGTGGACTCCATGGAGGAAAGAATTGCCTAACTTTCTCATTCACTGCTGTATCCTCAGTGTCTGGAAGGATACCTAGATAGGTGCTAGGTGACTGAAACTAGATACTTCTGTGTTTGTGTGTGTGTGGTGTGGGTATGGACACGTGTGCATGTGTACCTGCCCACTCAGGCACATGTGGAAGCCAGAGACTGAAGTCAGGTGTCTTCCTCAATCATGCTCCACGAATTGTTTGAGATGAAACCTCTCACTGAATCTGGAGTTTGTGGGTTCAGTTAGAGTGGCTGGTCAATGAGCACCTGGGATCTGCCTGTTTCTGTCCCCCAGTACTGGAAGAGGTGTAGACCTACTCTGCATTTGACTTTTAGGTGCGTGCGAGGGAGCAAACTCAGGTTTTCATGCGTACTCAGTAAGCCCTCCACCCACTGGGCCGTTTCCCCAGCCTTGAAATTGAACACTATGATGCCGGTTCTCACGGAGCCCTATATCCAACTAAAGGGACAGAACACAGACAGATCCTTATAAAACACAGGACGAGATCTAATATTGTAATGACACCTGCAATGCCAAGAGACATTGGTTATGGGAAAAGATGATGGTTAAGGATTCCGAAAACAACATACTAAATCAGAAGGATTGCTTTAGCCAGGAGCTCAAAGTCAGCAACAATGAAAGACAATGTCTAGCTTGTTTGTTTGAGGGAAGATTTCTCTACCTAGCCCTGGTTGTCCTGAAAATCAGTATGTAGGCTGCTATGCCCAGCTAAGGTCATGTTTGTTTGTGTTTTGTTTTGTTTTTAAAAGGGAAGGCAAAGACTATAGTGGTGACAATAAGACTATTATCTACTTTCTAACAAAAAAAAAAAAAAGAAGCAAGACACAAGAAAAGGCCGGGCAGTGGTGGTGCACCACGCCCTTAATCCCAGCACTCAGGAGACAGAGGCAGGTGGATCTGAGTTCAAGGTCTACAAAATGAGTTCCAGGACAGTCAGGGCTGTATAGTGAGACCCTGTCTCTAAATAAATAAATATATAAAATGAAACCACAGGTCTAAGGCCTCTCCCAAGACATTTACCATGGTTAGAAACCATATCTCTTGGCCCTGTCAAGAGTAAAACCATCTAAAATGCTTCAAACTGTAGTACCCAGGGTACTTCCTGCAGAAGACAGCACCTAAAATAACTGCTTAGGACATTGCCAAGCACAAACCTTACAAGCTCTGGGAATGCCTCTAAGAAATCTTTTAAATTTTAAGTAGCCTGTCTGAGCTCTTCATTGGACTCAAGGACAAGTTGATTGGGGTAGAATCTGAGGTGAATTCTCAATGTACTATTACCTCAGAAATCTCGATCCCATGACACTTATATCTAATCTACCCTTGGGTACCAGAGAAAGCCCTATGCTTCCCACAGCATTCTCTGATGGAGGGAACCATGCCAAGGCCCTAAGGAGCAGTGACAGGCAGTTGCTATCATTACCAGGAAGACTTCTGAGATATGATAATAGTTCAGCATACTTGAACAAACTACAATGGCCTTTTCTTTTTACTGTTTCTCACAACTACCTCGGGAGGTTGTGCAGACATTGTTATCTCCATTTCAGTCATGAAGAAACAGAAGCTTGGAAAACTGTGACTCAGCCGAAGCTGATGTGCCTCCAGATCTCCTGTTCAAGCCGGGAGGTTAAGAACACCAGTGAGAGACGGGCGGCAGTGGTGTACGCCTTCTTCAATTCCAGCACTCGGGAGGCAGAGCCAGGAGGATCTCTGTGAGTTCAAGGCCAGCCTGGTCTACAGAGCGAGATCCAGGACAGGCACCAAAACTACACAGAGAAAACCTGTCTCAAAAAACAAAAACAAAAACAAACGAACAAAAAAAGAACACCGGTTAAATGTTCTCCACCAATCTAGGTTCTAATCTTCGGCCTACGTGACCTGGACAAAGCTTTTTTAATTTCTCTGTGCCTTCATATTTCATCCATAAAACAAGGGCAGTGCTGGGTGTAGAAGCATACTTTTTTAATCCCAGCATTTGGAAGGGAGAAGTAAGCCTACCTGTGGAATTTGTGGCCAGCCACATCTACAGTTTTTTCAGACCAGCCATAGCACACAATGAGATTCTTCCTTAAAAAACAAATATACGAGGCAGGAAAAGAGAGCTCAGCAGTTAAGAGGACCTAGGTTTGATTCCCAGCACCCACACTGTGGATCACAACCATCTGTAACCCCAGTTCCAGGGTATTGGCATCTGGACTCCCAGGGGAACCAGGGATACATCAGGCAAGATCCCCAAATACATAAAAATAAAAACAAAGAATTAAAAACAAATAAAGGCAAGAAAAAAATATCTTTTTGTTCTGTTTGTTGTTTGAAACAGGGTCTCTGTGTGTAACAGCCCTGGCTGTCCTGGAACTCACTCTGTAGCCCAGGCTGGCCTCGAACTCACAGAGATCCGCCGGCCTCTGCCTTCAACCACCACAGCCCGGAGAATATAAACTTCTGAAGGACGATCAATCAATCGCCATTGACAACCATAGTGATAAGGCCTTTAAATGCCAAGGTGTGACTTAACCCAGCCCGGCTGAGGCGGACGGACAGACACCACCCTTGGGAGCCAAAGGACACAGAACCGGGACCGCAGCTCTGTCCGGGTTCCTGGAGCCCCCGGGGCTTACAAATGTCAAGGTCTCGGGAGCAGCCCCAGCCACCCTCCCGGGGCGAGGAGGCTCTGGTGAGGGAGCACGTACCTCAGAGCCGACCTGGGGGAGCCCAGCGCCCCTCTCTCCCCATCTCCCGCCCCGGTCCCCTCTCTCGGGGCTCGCCCCGTCACCAGGGGCCAGCAGCGGGCGGGGCTGCGGCTTGAGGAGAGCGGGGAAGGAGTTTCGCCCACACGGAGCTCACCTCTAGCCCGGGTGATTTTTGGCGGGAGTTTCCTCCCGTCCACAACTCTCGCCACACACGGGCTCCCTAAGTGTCCCCGACACCTCCCTTCCCGGCGGCCCCGGAGCCCCGCCTCACCCACCTCACCCCGGCCCCCCGAATGAGGAGTTCCGACACGGGACCGAAAGCCGCCCTGCACGCCACACTGGAGACTCGGGAGACCCGGTGAGGACCCCCCCCCTCTCCCCGCCCCCGCCGACCAGGTCCCCGCCCCTTTAAAGGGGCGCCTCTTCCAGGACGATCTCCCCGGCGCCGACCCCCGAAGGGGAGAAGGAGAGAAACATCTCCCCCCACTTCCCGGGATCAGAGAGAGAGGGCGAGCGCACCACAGACTGACGCGGAGTCCGGCCCTCACAGAGAAAGCGAGCGACACCGAACGAGGGACGGAGGGGACGGAGGGGACGGGGCGGGGGGGAGGAGAGGGGGAGGGGAGGGAGGGCCGAGATGCGAGCACTTATTGGCCGCCCGGCCTGCCTGTAAAAGGGGAACCCGGGCGCCCGGCGCGGCCCCCCGAGGGCGGGACTCCCGTCCAGCCTGGCCAATGGGCGAGCACGGGGAGGGCGGGGCTTAGGCGCCGGGCTGCCAGGACCGGGGAGGGACAAGATGGCGGGTGCGGGAGGGGGTCCT